AGAGAGAGAGAGAGGAGGCGGGGAGAGAGGCTCAGAGCATGGGGAGCCGGACAGAAGCCCAGAGCGGCGAACACCAGCGAGCGCAGCACGGCAAGTCCTCAGCTGTCCTGTGACGACCGTGGCGCCCGTACATACAAACATCTACGTATTTTCAAAATTATTGTTTCATTTATTTAACCAGCAAGGGTATGTGCATTTTTTAAAAAAGGCACTGAGTGTGCAGGGAGGTTGGAGCAGGGAGTGAAAGGTGTTCCAAGTCTGTGAGACAAGTGTCTCTTTTTCCGCAAGTGGAACCGGTTCCCCAGAAAGGGAAGACGCAGTCTCTGGTTACAAGCCGCTGGAGCTCTGGTGGGGATGGCACGCTTGCACTCGGGCAGGGGGCTGGCGTGCGGCCTACACCTGAGTCCCGAGGCGGGAGCACTCGGCAAGGTCCGGGGCTGTAGCTGCTCCTGGGGATCTGGGAACAGGGGTCCCCTGGCCTGCGAACTGGGTGGAACTCGCAGCTCTCCCATAATAGTGCTGGTCACCACAGCAGTGACCACATCGGTCACCACGGCAGTGGCCACGTTCGTCGCCTGCGTGAGCCCCACGCATGCGCCTTCAGGCTCACCAGTGCCACCGCGACGTCTCTGCCCCCGGCTCCCGGGGAGCAGAGCTCCCTTAGCACGGACGAGCTTTCCGGGAACGTGAGCAAACGCACGCCCTGAGACCTCACGGAAGCTGGAGGGGCGTCTGCGACCCCCTGGCTGGAAGGCTGGCAGCGGGTTAAATGGCTTCGACACTCACGCCCCGTGCGAGGTGCTCAGCAGAGTCGCCCTCAGAGCTCCTCCAGCCCGGGGACGCCCCCAGTCCGCAGCCGGGCGCTGGTGGGGGGTGGCTCGCACACCAGGGGGCGGCCCCTTCGGAGGTAGCTGGTCCTTTCACTTGGGTGTCTGCAAACACGGTGATTCGGGCCCCTGACAGACAAGGTGATGCGGTGCTTTCGTCCCCACGTCTGAAGCCATCATTCTCTAGCTTGGGGTCTGCCCGCCGAGGCGGCCCTGGGCTGGGACCTTCGTCAGCTCCCGAGACTGAGACCTGGGAGCCCAGCACGGAGAACGTGCCCTCGGCCCGCCCAGGAAGTTTGGGGGAAATGGCCCGGGGTGGAAGGCTGCACGCGCCGTCCAAGCCCCGCCACGCAAGGGCTGCCATCCGCCCTGCTTGCGTGGAGCTAAGCTTCAGCAGAGCAGCCGCAGCTCAGGCCCGCACTCGCCCTCAGCCCCTGCAGGCGGCTCCCTCTGCGCTTTCCAACACCCATGGATTCGCAGCAAAGGCATTTGTGGTAAAGTGCTTATTCTGCGGTCTGTTTAAGATTGGTGTTTGTGAGCAGATAGGGGTCATGAGCAGC